ACAAACATGGTACATGAACTGTATATACAGTAGATACAAGAAGACAATAAGAAACTTTTCCTATATTATTGCAGCATCAGGTTCTAGAACAGATCAAGGATGTAGTTGTTTTTTAAAAAAATAATTATGATAACAACAAAAATATATGAGGCCTATCCAATAACCCTCTTTGTCAATGTCTGAGCAATTTTTCTACATGTGCAATTTATATGTCAAACATGCTTTTAAAAAACATATATATTTACCTCATCACAGTAATCCTTTGACCAAATTGAATGCAACAAATGTATTGGAAAAATATTAACACTTGTCATTTGAGCTTATGTGTCTTTATTTGTAATAGTACAAATTGAGTAGAAAATTGCTACTTCATTTAACTACTGGCTGTTATCTAGTACAACTGTGCCCTGTAAGGCACTTTGCATAACAAAGTCTATTGCCATGTAGCTGTCTTTGATGTACTTTGCACAAAGAAGCTTTTTACAGATCCCCTGTTGCAGAAATGTTTGATCCATAACGTATCAGGAGAAAAAAGACAAATACTGTGCAGAAAAAGGCACACAATTTCTAGTAAAACACATTAATCTAGTGAGACAATATAAATAGCTGAATGCTTCTTCTTGAATTGTAGAATGGGATGATGAAAATCATTGCTAGAACAGAGCAAACATTCTAATTTTAAAAAATTGAATCTACATGGGATGGACACATGATCAAACCTCTTCTACTTATATTTTGTAAATATGAGTTTCATTTATGTTGAAGCTTACTGCTTAGTAAGCCATTTATAAACCACGACTCTTGATAAGCCAAGTAGTTAATCTGTTAGAAAAGGGATTATTTCTTACTTCCATGAGAAGGCATGGTTAATCATAAACTTCATATTGTTCTCAGAGTGGAAGCATGTTAAGCTACAGTTTCACAGCCAATGCTCTAAAGCCATGAACAGTATTCTAGAAACCTACAGTAGTCTATATGGACATTGCAGAGGAGTCTTCTGTAGAAGTCAAATCCAAGATTTTTAAAGATAAAAGTTCTAAATCTCAAGAGAAAGCCATTTTTTCAAGATTCTAGCATCATTTAGCTCCAATGCCACATTATGTTTTTTAATGCCATAATAAACAACTTTGAGAACCATTGCCTTCTACCAGACTAAATTGGACAAAATATGGTTACAATAAATTATAGCTTGTCAGTTTAATTGACACTTTATCATTATTTGACCCATTTATACCTCGCAGTTATAAAACATAAGCTGAAAAAGTAAAGAAGGAAGAATAATTTAAAAGGGAAGATAGAAGTGTCTCACCTGAAGTAAGGTAGGAAACCAATGAGCCAAACCAAATGACCAAATAAACCAAGCTTACGTATATAAACTATTAACAGAAATTAAACAAACCTTGCTTCTAAGTTGCCCAAACAATGTTACCTATTTTAATAAAGTGTAATGGCTCCCTCAGGTGCCAGTTCGAACAATAGGCTGCTGTGAGGACATCTGACAGGGACCCAGGAGACATAGAAGGCTCAGGGGAGGGTTTGGATGGTCAAGGTGAAACTGTGTCAGGAGTGTCAAGGGAATCTGAAAGCAAATGACTGGATGAACGTCCGGTTGCACAGGGAGGATAGAGCCAACTGCAGCTAGTAAGCATGGACAACCAGCTGGCCACACAGCCAGAAAAAAGACACAGCTGCAGCCAGTCAGTGATAAAGAGTGGCCTCCTCAACTGGATCCTAGGTCATGAGAGAGCAAAGAATGGAAGTCAATGGAAGTTAGCGAGGCTACTCATGAGGAGGCAGCTTCACCTTTCCTAATGAGATGCACTGGTCAGGACATATTTAGTTTAGTGTTTGGAGTCTGAGGGTTTTCAGAAACAACTGTTCACAATCTGTCTTTAATGTGTGCTCTTGACTTCCTTGGACCTAATTACTTTCTTGTGCCTTGACTCTTTTGAATCCATGCTTTGGACCTATAGACTTGCATTGTCCTCACAGTGCCATCATCCCTTTGAATCCTCATGTTTTAGGCCTATGGACTTGTATAGACTGTTGTGCTGTATTCCAAATGATTCAGTGCTGACTTCTTTGTGCCTTTGATTAGTTCTTGACTTCGTTGGGCTTTGACTCTATTGACTTTGCTGGGAGCAGATTCCGGAAGAACTGCACTGGCAGTTGGGATCTGAAGAATACCAAAGGAGCTTGGTGGTGTGGAATAAACCCCACTTTTGTGTGTGTGTGTGTGTGTGTGTGTGTCACTTGGAGCAAGAAATAAAGAATCTTAATTAAACAATAATATCTTCTTGTATTAAACAGCCATTGACAATGGCAATATAAAACATATAAAATTGTAAAAATGAAGAGATCACAGCAAGTATAACTAGCGTAACTGAAAGTCACACAACTTATTAGATGAAGTATGAAGTATTTTGACAGCCCATGTGATAAAATATACTGTATTTTTCGCTTCATAAGAAGCACTTACTGCCCCCCCCCAAAAAATGGGTGGAAACGATGTCAATCCTTTGATGAATAGCAGCGAGGTCGTGGCGGCGAGGACCTCTTACAGTGCTGAACCCAGCCTCTTCTGTCTTTGTCATTGCCCGCCACTTCTGTCTCTTTTCCGCAGTGCAGAGTCAATAGGCAGAGGTAGTACATGAGAGGACACCTATCTGGTCCTTTCAGGCTCTGCCTGATATTTTTGTTCTTATTTTCCTCCTCTAAACCTATATGCATCTAATGATCTGATGTGTCTTATAGAGTGAAAAATATGGTAGTTGGTATATAAGTAATTGCAAACTTGAAAGCATCTGGGAATTTAAAAGTAAGAAAAATAACTTTACATGTTATTTAGTGGCCTAATTGCATGCATCAACTGCATAATATTTCCTCTTCCTTCTTGATATGGCATTTATAATTCCTTGCAGGTATTCCAAAATATTTCAAATGATGTGGGGACAGAAATATTGGCTAGGTAACTGACAAAATCTTCAATAAAGTTGCAATTTCATTATGTTAAACAGTTACAGAACTTGAATTATTGCAACATGTCCATTCAAACTTTACTCCCCTTTATTGCCATAGGGATGCTGAGGTTTAAGTCACAGGAAATGCATGTCCCAGTCTCCCTTACATATTATTTTCTAAGACACTTTTACGGTTTTTCTACCATATTATTCTACTCTAACTATTATAATTATAGAAATTGAAGTAGATATTCATAAACCATTTCACAAACCACATTTTAAAAATATTTAATTCAATTATAAAATAAAGTATACCTTGCTATACTTTAGAGAAGGACATGGAAAAAATTATTTTTTGCTTCAATTCCTGCTCTTGAAGCAATGAAAAATGAACAAGAATACAAACATATTATTTGTATCATAACTGAGGTGGGTTCCGACTGGTTCAGCTGAACTGGTAGTGGTATGCCAGTCTGGGTCGCCAGAACCGGCAGTGACCCAGACCTGTCACACATCCGAACTGGTTCCTCAGTCAGCACGGAATGTTTTTTTAAAAATTTTAAATGTTGTGCGCATGCGCAGACCTATTTATAGGCAACTGCACACACGTGCAGAGTGTGTGTCTGGCATGCGCATGAGCGAAGCAAGCTGGCGTGTGCAAAATTGCACACACACCAAACCGGCAGTAATCCCGGCAGCAACTCATTCCTGAAACATACCCTCAAGTACCAAAAAACCCCCCATAAAATAACAAAGTGATAACCATAGAAAAGGAATCACTAAAATTACACATCAGAGCTGAAGTCTGTATGATGTATTTTCCCGCTGAAAGAAAAACAAGTTAAATATGTCTATTCGAAAACTTCCCAGATTAATCTTCTAAGGCAGAAGTCAACTGCATTTCATTGATTTTCTATTCTATTCCTCAAGAATCATTTATATAAATCTAGTTTTATTTTTCCAAATTAAGGTATTGTGGCTGCAATGACAACAGAAAAATGTTGCCAGACCGAAAGCAATCTTTCCAAATGGAAATATGAAATCCTACAGAAAAAAGCTTATGGAACTATAATTCCTTCCTAACCCAATACATACTGATATTAATCATTTACAAAACTAACTATTGATGAGAATGAGAAAATAAATACAAATCTTTTTCAACTACCATGAAATAAAATCTATAAGTTTATCCTATTGATGCCATATATGGAGTTATGTCATTAATATTTTTAGATCTTAAAAATATTATTTTTAAAATCTATTTCTTAGCTGTCTTTAAGGTCCATAATCTTCCAAAGGTGATTTATAGTAAAAATAAACAAAAGCAACAAAATCATACTGAACCTAAAAATTTTAAATTAAAATACCATAAGTACTTAAAGTTTATGTAATATGTAGAATCTTCATCAATTCTTATTTAAAAATACACTGGAACATAAAACAAATAATAAATTATAACTCATCAGAAATATGCAAAATTGTTTCAAATCTTTAGCATGGGGGAAAAAATCCTTAAAGTAACTACAATACAGTTGTTTTAAATATAAAGTTTCAAGCAGTTCTATACAAACTCTATATAAATACTTTAAATCTTGTGCTTTAAATAAATAAATAAATAAATAAATAAATAAATAAATAAATAAATAAATAAATAAAATAATTATTTTTCATAATATATTCACATTTTAAAGCATTACCGATGGGCTGTAAGAATGTGAGCCTCACTATCAGAATACCGCAATTATATTATCTTTCTTCTCTTCAAGACTGACCTTTCAATGTCACTTAACAGTCAATGATCAGAAACAGATTTTTAGGGTTTCTTTTTTTCCCCCTAGACATTTTAACTTGATCCATTCCATATGCTGGTCATCCACCATTAGGTGGATGTGTTATACAAAACATTAACTCTATTTTCTGAGCTAACCTATAATAACTTCAGCAAAATGCAACATGGAAACGCCAAGAAATAAAAGAATGAAAAAATAATAAAGAGAACCGATTAAAAGATCTTAGCAAAAGTAGTAGTAAGATACCTACTGTGTCCTGAGATTTATCCTTGACATCATAGACTGTTAGCTTTATTTTAGTCTCCTCGTAGATAGGATAATCTGGGGGGAACGTCACACCAGTCAAAAACAGTGGGTCTTTTGTTCCCTGCATAGCAAAAGGACATAATTCAGATTTAGCTAGGTAGCAGCTGTGTACCGTCTTGGATTCAATTATGGTCAAGAGCAGAATAGTTAGAGATTTCCAAATGCAGTACTTCTAAATAGAAAAAACTGATTTTGATTGCCAACTGAATCAAAAATGCAAATTATAAAAGCTCTCAAAACACAGACGAACGTTTCAGGATGCAAAACTTAAATTTGCAACAGTTAACTATTACAGGTGATTGTGTTAGAATATGCAGTATTTTTTTAATACTAACCAGGAGGAGCAGTTCATCCACTGATCCATTATTGAAGTCATGTAATTTTGCACATATTTAGTTTATGCACTGTCATAAAATGTCAAAACGTGGGAGGCATAAACTAAACCAAAAACAGAATTATAAACAGTTTGGGGAATAAAATAAATAAAAGAGTTAAATAAATAAATAATAAACAAATAAAGTAAAATAAATATTTTTAAAATAAGTAGAATAATATGGTTTGGAGTGGGATCCGAAGCACAAGTTTAGTTAATTTTATCAGCCCATAGAACAAAAATGTATTTTTTATATTTTCAAGTTTGCAAACTAATTATAAAAATGGGAAAAAATTCAGAAGCAATCCATAATAGTGCATAAGTCACGCAGCAAAGCTACCTGTACAATTTATGACTATTATAAAGATATTTTGTAATTTGTTTGTAGCTTAACAGCTGTATATTAGCTATTTGGAGGGCAAATACAGGTAATCTTCAATTTATGACCCCAATTGAATCCAAAATTTATATTCCTAAGTGAAACATTTGTTAAATAATTTTGGCCTTTTTACAAGTTACCCTTTCCAGGAGTGTTGTAACTTCAAATGGTGAACTGTTCTAAATTGAGGATTACCTGTACCTGCATGCAAACACAAAAACATAAAATTGCCCAGTGTCAACTTGTGCCTAAATGATTTGCTCCGAAAACCAAAGCTCAGCTTCTCAGTCTACACTGATCTTTTCCACTCAGTTATATATTTTAGTCAGTTATTGGCACTTTAACTAAGAAGCCATCCAGAAGATTATTTCAGGAATGGATGAATTTGACAACCTAATTTTTAGAAGTGAATTTGAATGCGGTTGAGTGCAACTAAGTGTTTTGCTTTCTCTCCCAGGAATTAAGGTAAATACATCTCAATATGCACTCTGCTAAATTTTTTAAGATTAATCTTTTTTGACTCTTCAAAAACATGACAAGAAGTAGACAAAACAAAAAGGAACCAAGTTAAATTAGAAAATGCCATGTTTATTTCAATTTGCTTATAAAGTATGCCAATATAAAATAGCCTCTGGAGACAATACACTAGTAGCCCAACACACCTGAAAATAACTTACTTGGGAAAGAAAGATATAAAATGTAATCCGTTTTGTATAATCTGTATTGTGACTATAAAGAACAAAGTGCCTTGCTGTACATAATATATGAATATAGAATTCATAGAGAATTAACATTTCTGTAATCAAACTTTTATATTAGTTTAAAACAATGACTTTGCATTTTTAAAATTCAAATTAGTCAATAATTAAGAATCCAAACACCAGTCTATACCTTAAAATGCAAGCAATCTTTAGCAATAGCAAAAGCATTTAGACTTATAAACCACTTCCTTATGCTTTAAAGCCCTCTCTAAGCAGTTTAGAGAGTCAGTGTATTGCTTCCAACAATCTGGGTCTTCATTTTACCAACCTCAGAAGGATGGAAGGATGAATCAAACTTAAACTGCTCAGAATCAAACTCCTGGAGTAAGCAGTAGTTAGCCTGCAATACTGCACCATAACCACTGCACCATAACGGCTCTTAAATGTCCCTCTGCAAAAATAACTTTATTTTTGCAGGAAACACTGCAGTTATTCACACTGGTTAAATGAAGAAAAGAAAGGACAGAAAAGGGAAGGGAAGAGAGAAAAGAGAAAGGAGAAAGGGCAAAGAGGAAAGAATCACCTCCACAATTTCCGTGCTTGCGTATCTTGTTTGGTTCTGTTCCCCTGGATGCACTACAGTGACCTGCACAAATGTATTCAGTTTTCGATCCCGTGTAGGAGCCACTAAATCTTTACATGCTGAAATGGTACAGAGGGGGAGTGAAGAGAAAGAAAAGGGAAAATCTCATTTAAAAAAAACCTAAATCACAATGAGCACATTGTTGTGTGAGAGGCAGATTGAATAATGTTTCGAAGCTCTAGAGACTTAAGCTTGTTTAGCAGAGGAAGTCTCTTAGAAATACTCCACAAAAATAGGAAATCACATGCTGCAATCTATTTTTTTTATTCAACTATGCCATTATGCACTTCATGCAAAGATTTTCTAAGAACTCATTTCAATTTTTGCAAATTAATACATATATGTATATATATATCCATCATTCTGTTATAAACCACTGAGTCACTTAGGCAAATTGGGTGATATAGGAAAGGAAGGAAGGAGGGAAGGAAAGAAGGGAGGGAGGGAGAGAGGGATGCATGCATGCATGCATGCATGCAGGCAAGCAGGCAGGTAGGCATTTCTTTGCCATGTCAACTACATTATGTGTAGCTCAGAAAAGTATTAAGAAACAATGAGGCCAAAAAATTAAGAATGGGGTAAGGAAATATAGCTAAATATTGTTCATAACAATTAACATCATTCTTCATAACAAAGTTCATTATACATTTTCAAACTTCTCTAAAATTGCAAACCATCCATTATTTCCATGGATTATTTAGAACAATTCACACATTTTCTCTCACTGTTTTTCAGAACTTGATCAACTCTACTCAATCATGACTTTCTTGGTCTTATTTTCTCATAATATGTATCATATATTTCTTTTGAGATATGATCTAATTAATTCTTGAGACTATACATCTTTCATACTTGTTACTCTTTGTATATTGATCCACATTCATTCAGCAGCTATCCATTTCTAGCTTTTCCTGTTTCACCATATCTGGTGTGCGACATGAAACAATTGATGGAGGCCACATTGCTGCACCCACTTCACTGTGGGGTTATCCACCATAGCCATTACGCTGGAGGCTTTCATCTTTGGCTGATTCTCTGCTGGCATTCCTCCCATGGCAATGGTCTGCTGGTGCTCCGCCCTCACTCCCTTGTCCTGGGAGATTCACCAAGGAACACTTGTCCCTGGACAATTCACTACATGGAACAATTAGCTGCACCTCCTGATGACTGGGTGGGGCACGCCTTGGGTGCTGGGCCGGGAGTCAGGAGAGGTGGTGGTTGCTGTGTGTGGGGCAACCAGCCATATAGCATCTCCAGTCAACAGTCCTTTAAAACAACAAAGGGGAAAGGAGGGACAGGACAGAAGGAGCCTGACATTTTTTTGCAAATATCATTCTGTCACTCATTCCCTAAACAGTATCCTTGAGAAATGAGTTTTTTTACAAGAAAAGTGCAAAGTTATGGGAAACATATTCTTTAAACTAAGAACAGTTCAGATAGGCATGTTTTGAAATCCCTTTCATAAAGGAGACACACTATTTTTTCCATTTACCGTATTTTTCGGAGTTTAAGACGCATCTTTTTCCCCCAAAAAAGAGGCCGAAAATCTGGGTTCGTCTTATACACTGAATACAGCATTTTTTTGCCTCCCGAAGCCCTGCCCCCTTCACCAAAATGGACGTACATACCCTTATGGAAGGTTTCAGAGAGCTCCTGGGGGCTGGGGAGGGCAGAAATGAGCAAATAATGGGCCGTTTTTTGCCCCCCCCCAGCCCCCGGCAGCACTCTATAAACCTCTATAAGGCTATGCATGCAATTTATTTGACAAAAATAGCCTGTTTTTGCAAAAAACAGGCCTTTTCTTCCTCTTCCCCCCCCCCCCCCC